TGATTTCCACCACCCAAATGAAGCCCTAGCTTTGGATCTTCAAGATCTTGAGAGAGATGATGAAGATCTTGGCCCAAGAATTTGCAAAATCAAAGAGTTGTGATGTTTGAAGGAGTTTTCTAGAGAGAAGGGGGAGAAATATAGGGTTCAGAGTGAGGAAGAGATGTGTATAATGGGTGTTAAATTCGGACCAAGATGTTATAAGAAAACAGGTCATGGACTGCCCAGTTGGCCGCTCATGCGGCCTTACCAACCGCTCAAGCGCCCACCTCCGCCGCTCGTGCGGCCCACCTTCCTCCGCTCGAGCGCCCTTAGATAGTATGCAATTTATGGGTGGCAGGCTCCACCACTCGTGCGGCCTCTCCCACCGCACGAGCGGCCCAATTCCGCACGTACAGCCTAGGGCCCCGCACGTGCGGCCCTGGCCCAGTAGCCCAAAAATTCAACTTCGCTCCCGGGCACCCTGGACTCACCCGCGCACCCTTCGGAACAATTGAAATTCAACACCGAACAAAATAAGAACTAGGAAACCATTCCCGGACGTTTCAATCCAACGAAAATAAAAATAGAACAAAGCGAAGAAGGAAAGAAGGAAAGGGAAAAAAGAAGGCCGGTCGTCACATCTGATATACATTTGATGTTTGGGAACTTTTAAATAAGTTAATTTTTTTATTTTTAGTGATTTTTTTTTTTCAAAATCATGTTAACTTTTTTTAATTTTTTTAAAACTTTTGTGGTCTATCTTATATAAACGAATCTAAAAATAAAAAATTTCAAAGAATAAATTTAAAAACCCAAAATAAATCAAAAAAACTATTTTTTGCTTGTTTATCTTTTCGAAACGTTTTTTCAAATATTTAATTTTCTAGTTTGTCTTGTCAAGTAAAATTTAAAAGTATAAAACTTTTTAAAATATCTTTAAAAAATTCACTAAAAACAAAAAAAAACCAAAAAAAAAAAAAAAAACTAAAATTGATCATAACTAAAAAAAAAAAAAAAAACCCAAAAATGACAATAACATTTTAATAATTATATATAAATAGTTATTTTAAACTTGTCAACATTCATTAAATGTTATGTACACACCACTCTTTGCAATGAATTATAACTTCAAAATTTCTCCCCCTCTCTCTTATGTGCAATAGCTATCTGCTTTGTGTTCATTTTAATTACTTAATTACGTAATCTCAAGATCATCATTTTAATTACGTAATGTCAAGATCATCAAATGTTTGTATCAAATCTACTTATCATCTAATATGATACCTTTAAACATCATTCATGCATTGTCGCAATCTATTAAAAATATTTATTATTTCACTGCTTCAATAATGGCACATAAGTAGCGAGTACAGATCTTCGGTAGCACTTTCCTGTCACCCTCCCTGTCACCCTTTTCGAAACGGCGTCGTTTTGGTGAAAACGACGTCGTTTTCACCATTTTTTTTTTTAATTTTTTCCCAAAATTTGAAATTCCCGCTTGTTTTCTACTCAGCTCTGTGTTTTGTTTTGTTTAGCCCTAAGACAGAGATGGTAGACGAAGAGAGAGAGAGAGAGCTGAGCTGAGAGATGAGACAGATGGTAGAGGGACGCGACGGGTTGGGCGAGGGCGAACGAAGGATGGTGGAGGGAGGAGACAACCATTGCGAAGGACAAAGGATGACGGAGGTAGGAGACTGCCATGGCAATGGAGGGAGCATGGCGGAGGGAGGAGACTGCCATGGCGAAGGACGAAACATGGCGGAGGCGCGCGACGCGACGGCGAGGCAAGATTGCGGCCCTGAGGAGGTAAAATAAGTGAATATCTGTAGCTGAAGTTTTTAAGATTATTGTAGATGATATATACATATATATATATATATATATTTGAATATCTGCCTGAAATTTTTTATAAATGTTTCTAGAAGTCAAAAAAGATTATAGAAAAATATCAATTCTGGGTTTTTCAATTTTTTTTTTTCATTTTTGGGATGGAATTGTTCTAACTGGGTAGTGATGGAATTTTTCATTTTTTTGATTTTTTCATTTTTGGGATGGAATTATAGTGATGGAATTGTTCTAACTGGGTAGTGATGGAATTTTTCATTTTTTTGATTTTTTCATTTTTGGGATGGAATTATAGTGATGGAATTGTTCTAACTGGGTAGTGATGGAATTTTTCATTTTTTTGATTTTTTCATTTTTGGGATGGAATTATAGTGATGGAATTGTTCTAACTGGGTAGTGATGGAATTTTTCATTTTTTTGATTTTTTCATTTTTGGGATGGAATTATAGTGATGGAATTGTTCTAACTGGGTAGTGATGGAATTTTTCATTTTTTTGATTTTTTCATTTTTGGGATGGAATTATAGTGATGGAATTGTTCTAACTGGGTAGTGATGGAATTTTTCATTTTTTTGATTTTTTCATTTTTGGGATGGAATTATAGTGATGGAATTGTTCTAACTGGGTAGTGATGGAATTTTTCATTTTTTTGATTTTTTCATTTTTGGGATGGAATTATAGTGATGGAATTGTTCTAACTGGGTAGTGATGGAATTTTTCATTTTTTTGATTTTTTCATTTTTGGGATGGAATTATAGTGATGGAATTGTTCTAACTGGGTCGTGATGGAATTTTTCATTTTTTTCATTTTTTCATTTTTGGGATGGAATTATAGTAATGGAATTATAGATAAATATCAATTCTGGGGTTTTTCATTTCTAGAAGTCATTTTCATTAAAGATTATAGTGATGGAATTGTTCAAAAAGGTATATTCCACTACCAAACATTACAAAAATGTTAACAGAATTCTGTTAATTGAAAAAAAATTTGACCCAGAATTCTGAAAATTAATAGAATTGATCTAACTGTTATGTGTTCAAAAAAAATTTCAGTTAATTTTGCTTGATCCTTTGACTGTATAATGACCTCTTATTGTGCTGAAATGGCACTTTGTTGTTTGAATGTTGTAAGGGCGGTAATCTTTAAATCAATTGTTCCTGACAAATCAGATTAAAGAGATCAGATTGTTAATATAGAATAACAAAGATGTGGCCTTACCACCACAGAAATATACCGAAAGACAGATTCTACTGTTCTTCCCACTTAACAATTTGTATTTTTTATGTGGACGGTTCATGTGCTTGGACTCTTTCAATTGACAAATTCAAGTGAAACACATCTGTCCTTAAGTTGTTGTTCGGAGTTTTCTTTAGTTTATTTATGGTATGTGCAAGCTTTTTAGTGATTCACATGACTGCTTAGCTGCTGTACGGTTAAGATTCCACTGAATTATCACTTTTTTTTTTTGTTTTGATCGGCTCCACGGAATTATCACTGTAACAATAAAGATGGAGTATGTTGCTAACTATTCTTCACTTAGCATCCCAAAACACACCTTAGGTGCTTGAAATGGCACTTTTTTTTGTTTTTTATTTCGTTTCTGTTTCAAGCATTTGTTTCATTTATTTCATCCACCAAAAACTATCTTGTGCCAGAATTTCCCAGACTTCCTGAGTGTTTAGCCTACTCCTCAAATCTAAGAGTGCTTTAGAAAATAAACATCATGATGGAGTACTAATAAAAATCAGATTCTAAATCACATTTTTATATAATGACGATACTGTTTGTTCAAATTTTTTATTTTTTATTTTTTTTATTTTTTTTTCGATGGATTTAGAAATATGAAAAACATGTAAGGTATTCATTCATTTTGTTGCTAGACATCTTATTCATTTAATTATGTTCCTAAAGTGATATTGACAACTCAATATTGCAGGTGTCAGTTAAAAATCATCATAATGCGTGGTTTAACATTCTAACTTCTTTGGTGATAGGGTTTGAGTTTGACAGTTTGTGTTTGTATTTGTTGTAAATCTAAGGTAGTTGCGCTAGCATTAAATAATATTATGCTTGAAATTATTCATATCATTCATCTTTCCCACTGGTATATTATATGTATAGGAAAATGTTATATAAATTACTCAGTAGTATTTGTAGGCACACTTCTAAAAAATCCTATCCATCAAATTTTGGGAAGTAGCTTATTTTATTATTGTATGGTACTGAATTGTAGGTAATGGAAGAAAATAATGTTGTTGATGACTTTGGTAGTTGTGGTTGGAGGCCAAAATTGGGCATACCATTTGACTCTGAACAAGCTGCGTATGACTTTTACAATAACTATGGCGGAAAGGTGGGGTTTAGTATTAGGAAGTCGTATGCACACAAGAACAAACAAACCAAGGAAATAACTTCACGGATTTTTGTATGTTATAAAGAGGGAACTCCGGGTATTGACAAGCGAGATCCACTAGTAAAATTTCTGACACAAGAGGTGCGATGTGGTTGTGGTGCCCGATTGAGTATAAAGTTAGATAGAAATTTAGGGAAATATGTTGCAATTGATTTTGTTGAACATCATAATCATGACCTTGTGCGTCAAGAGTGTGTTCATATGTTGCCATCCCAAAGAAAAATATCTACCACCCAAGCAATTGAAGTAGAATTGGCTTCAGAATCTGGAATTCCTCTTAGGTCTGCTTATGAGCTATTGGGTAGGGAATGTGGTGGAAGAGCATCACTTGGCTTCACCAAATTGGACCAAAAAAATTATTTAAGATCGAAAAGACAAAAAGATTTGGAATATGGAGAAGCGGGTAGTGTGTTGCAATACTTTCATAAGAAAACGGTGGAAAATCCATCCTTTTATTATGCAGTCCAATTAGATTGTGAAGAGCAGATAACTAATATATTTTGGGCCGATGCTCAAATGATAATGGACTATGCTCAATTTGGTGGTGTAGTGACCTTTGACACTACTTACAAAATAAATAACGAGCATAGACCTTTTGGAACCTTTGTTTGGATTTAATCATCATCGAGAAACGGTTATATTCGGTGCAGCGTTGATGTATGATGAGACTGCCGAATCATTCACATGGTTGTTTCAGATTTTTTTGGAGGCAATGTCAAACAAAGCTCCAAAAACTATTTTCACAGATCAAGATGCTGCGATGGCTAAGGCCATTCCAATTGTCATGCCTAATACAAACCACCGACTTTGCACATGGCATTTGATGCAAAACGCTGTGAAGCATGTAAGTTGTCTTTTTGGAGATGTGGGGGTGAAGGGTGTGTTTGCAAAATTTATGCATGAAATTGATGATGAAGAAGAATTTAGAATACGATGGGACCAAATGCTTGATAGGTATGATGCACACAACAATCATTGGTTAAAACAAACATTTGGTGTAAAGGACAAATGGGGATGGCCATATGTTATGAATTCTTGGGCAGCTGGAATGAGTACTACTCAACTAAGTGAATCATTCAATGCCTGTTTCAAGGATTATCTCAATTGTGATCATAACTTGATGGAATTTTTCATGCACTTTGAGAGGGTGCTCTATGACAAGAGGTATAAAGAATTGGAAGCCGAATATAATTTGTCCCAAAAATTGCCAAGGGTTTCCATTCCAACTTTGATGTTAAAGCAAATGGCAGATATTTACACCAAAACAATTTTTGAGGAATTCCAAAATGAGTACGTGCAGTCCATTGAAGCATCCATTGTAGGCACTCTTAATGGTGGTGAGAGTACCATATTCACAATTCGAACGGTGGTAGATGGAAACAAAGATAAGAATGTGATAATGCATAGAGATGGTTTTTTGAGTTGTAGTTGCAAGAAGTTTGAAGTGAAGGGCATAGTGTGTCGACATTGTTTGAAGGTGCTTAGAGAAATATTGAATGCAAAAGACCTTCCTGCACAATACATCTTGAAACGATGGACTAAGAAAGCAAGGGCTGAAAGTGTGAAAGATAGCCGTGGGTATGATGTCAAGGCTGATGTCAAACTACATCAAAGCGATCGATATAGGTCATTGATGAATATGTTTAGAGCAATAGCAAGTAGAGCCGTGGAAAGTGAAGAAACTTATCATTTGTCACTTGCAAAAGGTGAAGCATTGAGCGTAATGGTTGAAGAGAAATTAAGTGTGCACAATTGTGGTGAAGTGGAGGTCACTGAATTGAGAAATTCCGCAACTAACACATGCCCACCGAGTGAGGAAGTAGATTGTCCAATCCAAGCTAAGGGACTGAAGAAAAGACAAGCAACTAGTAAGGGAAGAAGGAGGATCAAGGGCGGGATGGAAAAATCTATTGCGAAGAAGAAAAGAATGCAATCTAAGCAGGTAATTAATTTTGTTATGTGTGATTGTTATGTGTTATCAATTTTGTGATATGTGTGTTTGGAAAATCATGAATTAAATAAATTGGTTGTTTGCAGGGTGATGGTTTTTGTACTCTTGAAGGTCAATCTGAGCCTCCTGTCGCCATGGGTAATATTTGTAGTCAGGTAATATTTACTATTCTGTGTAACCTTGTATTAATCTTGCAATATTTATTATTGTGTGCAACTAGTAGCGTGATATTTATTATTTTGTGATGGATGTAGGGTGCTTCTTTTCCTGCTTCTCAAGATCAATCTGAACTGTCTTCCGCCTTGGGTAGCCATTCAATACAGGTAATTGAACATGCATACACCTTAGGGCAATTGAACCTCATACGGCACCAACATATCTTCAATTGCTTCTTCTTGCAATATTGTCATGTGAATTTCTTTTTTGTTTCGTGCATTGGTTCTATAGGGTGTTACAATTTACACTCCGCAAGGTCAATCTCGACCTCCTTTCGCCACGGGTAGTAATTTTGTTCAGGTAATATTTCGTATTGTCTGTTTTTTCAAAATGAAAATGCATTATTACTTTTTTTCATTTTCACTTATTCTTTTGTTTATGTTGGTTTACTTTAGGGTGTTTATACTCCACAAGGTCAATCTCGACCTCTTTTTGGCATAAGTAGTAATTATGTTGAGGTATTCTTTTCATATTGTATGTTTTTTAAAATGAAAATGCGTTATTACTTTTTTTGTTTTTCACTTATTCTTTTGTTTATGTTGGTTTACTGTAGGGTGTTTCTACTCCACAAGGTCAATCTCGACCTCTTTTTGGCATGAGTAATAATTATGTTGAGGTATTCTTTTCATATTGTATGTTTTCTAAATTAAAATGCATTATTACTTTTTTTTAATTTCACTTATTCTTTATGTTGGTTTGCTTTAGGGTCATGGTCGTGCATTTTATAATTCTCAATCCCAATCTAGACCTGAATCCCAATCTCAACCTCCCTTTGCCATGGGTCGTACATATGATGTGAGTTGTAATTGCTTACATACTTTACATTCAAATGGTAGTATAGATTGTATAAATATTTTAATAAATGTATCACTATTGCAGGGAAATAACGCGCCCCAGTCAATGCCGCCTCATTCAATGCCTTTAGTATATCCCACTCAACCATCGTTTCAGGAGTTGCTTTGAGGTACAGGTGCAGTCCAACTGTCGCAAGCCTCATATAGTCCTGCTGACAGTTATGTGAATGGACATTCTTGGAAGGCTTGCACCAAACAATGATGTTATTATATTGGTGTATTTTTTTTATGTTTGGTGGGATTTGGATATTTTTGATGGACATATTTATTTATTTTTTTTTTTATGTTTGCTGGGATTTGGATATTTTGGATGGACATATTTTTTATGTATTTTTAATGTTTCGTGGGATTTGGATGTTTTTGATGGACATATTTTTTTTAATGTAAATTTCATGTTTCGCGAGATTTGGACATTTTTCATGGACATCTTCTTCTGTATATTTAGTGTTTCCGAACAATGTTCTTTTTGTGTATGCATATATAAAGTTGTTATTATGGTTGTCATCTACAATTCTTTGTGGCACAGGTTCAATTCAAGTGGCACAGGTTCAATTCTTTGTTGTTTCTACAACCACGCTTTGCCTTCATTTCCTATATGTTTGCTTGTCTCAGCATGGAGAAATGTTTAGGAGTTGATTTTGTTGACTCAGGGTGAGGTGATACAGGATGTTCGAGTGATCATATAACTTGTTATTTGGAAAGCTTGCTTTGAGATGCCTCTTTAGATTATTTCTCTCAAATTGCTCAAACCGACACATGCACACCTCTACAATTTAATTAAGATTATTTAATTAAGATTATTTCTCTCAAATTGCTCAAACCGACACATGCACACCTCTACAATTTAATTAAGATTATTTAATTAAGATTATTTCTCTCAAATTGCTCAAACCGACACATGCACACCTCTACAATTTAATTAAGATTATTTAATTAAGATTATTTCTCTCAAATTGCTCAAACCGACACATGCACACCTCTACAATTTAATTAAGATTATTTAATTAAGATTATTTCTCTCAAATTGCTCAAACCGACACATGCACACCTCTACAATTTAATTAAGATTATTTAATTAAGATTATTTCTCTCAAATTGCTCAAACCGACACATGCACACCTCTACAATTTAATTAAGATTATTTAATTAAGATTATTTCTCTCAAATTGCTCAAACCGACACATGCACACCTCTACAATTTAATTAAGATTATTTAATTAAGATTATTTCTCTCAAATTGCTCAAACCGACACATGCACACCTCTACAATTTAATTAAGATTATTTAATTAAGATTATTTCTCTCAAATTGCTCAAACCGACACATGCACACCTCTACAATTTAATTAAGATTATTTAATTAAGATTATTTCTCTCAAATTGCTCAAACCGACACATGCACACCTCTACAATTTAATTAAGATTATTTAATTAAGATTATTTCTCTCAAATTGCTCAAACCGACACATGCACACCTCTACAATTTAATTAAGATTATTTAATTAAGATTATTTCTCTCAAATTGCTCAAACCGACACATGCACACCTCTACAATTTAATTAAGATTATTTAATTAAGATTATTTCTCTCAAATTGCTCAAACCGACACATGCACACCTCTACAATTTAATTAAGATTATTTAATTAAGATTATTTCTCTCAAATTGCTCAAACCGACACATGCACACCTCTACAATTTAATTAAGATTATTTAATTAAGATTATTTCTCTCAAATTGCTCAAACCGACACATGCACACCTCTACAATTTAATTAAGATTATTTAATTAAGATTATTTCTCTCAAATTGCTCAAACCGACACATGCACACCTCTACAATTTAATTAAGATTATTTAATTAAGATTATTTCTCTCAAATTGCTCAAACCGACACATGCACACCTCTACAATTTAATTAAGATTATTTAATTAAGATTATTTCTCTCAAATTGCTCAAACCGACACATGCACACCTCTACAATTTAATTAAGATTATTTAATTAAGATTATTTCTCTCAAATTGCTCAAACCGACACATGCACACCTCTACAATTTAATTAAGATTATTTAATTAAGATTATTTCTCTCAATTTAATTAAGCAAAAAAATGAAGAAGGGAAGATAGTGTTAAGAATAGAATGAAAAAAAGGAAGAAGGGAAAATAGTGTTAAGAATAGAATGAAAAAAAGGAAGAAGGGAAAATAGTGTTAAGAATAGAATGAAAAAAAGGAAGAAGGGAAAATAGTGTTAAGAATAGAATGAAAAAAAGGAAGAAGGGAAAATAGTGTTAAGAATAGAATGAAAAAAAGGAAGAAGGGAAAATAGTGTTAAGAATAGAATGAAAAAAATGAAGAAGGGAAGAGAGTGTTAAGAAGGGAAAAAAATGAAAAAAATGCCTTGTTAAGAATAGACTTTCATGGGCAAAGGCCAGATGTATATGCCTAAACATACAAAGGTTTGCACTATAATTACCAAAACAAACAGTAATTACACATTTCTATTTTCTAATTTTAAATAAAGTTGCATAAAAAGATAATATTGGAAGAGAAATTTATTGTTAGAAAAATGTTCTACAACAGATTCTCTTCACAAAAATTTACTAACAATTCAAAAAATCTGGAAAAATCTGGAATGAAGCATCAAAAAATCTGGAATAGACTTTGAGAAATTCAAACAACATTTCTCATCACAATGTTATACTAGCACAACAACAAAAAACAATTGAAAGCCTTCAAAAGAATCTATCCAACACAAGAAAAATCTGGAATGTTTTCCAGTGGACACTGTTGTGCAAACAAACAAAAGAATCTATCCATATATAAAGTTGAATTCAACAAAACAAGTATAACAACTTTATTTCAAACTTCTACCTTCAAAACAATCAAGATGAGAGACAGTGAGGGAATTCCAAACACAGAAACCACAAAATTCCTTTAATAGATTGACTAATGTCTCAGATTACTAATGTCTCTAGGCTCTTCATATATCTTATAAAACGAGTTCAGATCTTCGGTAGCCTAAAGTCAACATACACAAAATGCCCAAATCAAGCAAATCTTGATTTGTTCTTATTCTTTGCATGAATCACAGAAGGGAAGAGAGTCAAACCAAATCTGTGTTTATCCCAAGCCTCTCTGTCTTCGTCTCTCGCCCTCGCTCCTCGCCTCTCTGTCTTCGTCGCCTCGCCTCTCCCGATCGATTCGCCCTCTTCGCCTGTTCAGCTCTGCTTCGTCTCAGAGGGGCTAGGGCACAACCAAACCAAAGGGGCATGTGTCATAAGAGGGAATTTCAAATTTTGGGGAAAAATTCAAAAAAAAAAAAATGGTGAAAACGACGCCGTTTCGAAAGGGCGACAGGAAGGGCGACAGGAAAGTGCTACCGAAGATCTGTATTCCATAAGTAGCACCTTACACGTCATTCATGATGCAATGCAATGAAAGATAAGATTTATTCACCAATGCATTAATGACATGTAAGCAAAGGCAAGGGAAGCAAGGGATGTACCCACAAAATTATAGAATTCACTCTTATATCTATGCTTATATTTTTGGAAAATTGCAATTCAGGGTGATTTTGAAATATAATTATAAATAATTGACAGAGTTTATATGTCTTAATAATTAAAAACAATTTTTTTTATTTATAAATCTGAAATAATTTTCTAAAACTATCACTAATCCGCAATTTTTATTATATTTTTGTGCAAGTGGCATAAAACTATATAAAATTCTCCATTTTTCTTACTGTTAAAGAGTTTTTTGCTATGTCAAATAATAGAATCCCAAAATTCATAAAGAAAATTGCTAACTTCACAACTTTATAATCTTATCCAAAGTCATACCTTTCACCACATGGCGCCTAAAATTTAAATTGGGAATATTGAAATCTACCATCTAAATTCTAACAAATATTTTTATTTTATAAATTCTTATAGAACAGAGCTCATTAAACATTATATGTGATCATTTGAGAACAATTAAAAACAAACTAAAAATAATCTAATTCGGAAAGTATCTAAAATAATAATTTATCAAGTACCTTCTAATTTATGTCATATGAATGCAGACGCCTAAAAAAGAAGTTGAGAACTTGAAAAAACAAGAAAATGTGGAAGCTGAAGATTGCTAAAGGTCATGGACCATACTTGTTTAGTACCGACAAATATATTGGTAGACAAATTTGGGAGTTTGACCCTGATGTAGTGTCGACAGAAGAGCGAGCAGCAGTTGAAAAAGCACGAGAAGAATATAACAAGAAATTCAAAAATGATCGAGCTCAGGCTCTGCCTTGTTCTGATCTTCTAATGCGAATGCAAGTGAACACTTACGACTATTGCATGACCAAGTGGGAAACATGACTGTGAACTTGTTGAATGATATGCTGATGCTCGTGCTACCTTCTAATTTATGTCATATGAATGCAGACGCCTAAAAAAGAAGTTGAGAACTTGAAAAAACAAGAAAATGTGGAAGCTGAAGATTGCTAAAGGTCATGGACCATACTTGTTTAGTACCGACAAATATATTGGTAGACAAATTTGGGAGTTTGACCCTGATGTAGTGTCGACAGAAGAGCGAGCAGCAGTTGAAAAAGCACGAGAAGAATATAAAAAGAAATTCAAAAATGATCGAGCTCAGGCTCCGCCTTGTTCTGATCTTCTAATGCGAATGCAAGTGAACACTTACAACTATTGCATGACCAAGTGGGAAACATGACCTGGAAGCTTTATGGGCTGAATTTCTATGGTGAATTCCTCATCTGCTTTTGTTTTTGCTTTGCTGCTGGTTGGAATCATCTGATAGCTCTGGTTTTGCTCTGCTCCTGGAAATTGGTAACATCTGAAAGGGTGATTCAGCTTTGTGGTTGTGCTGCTGTCAATCCAGTTTCTATCAATTTTGTTTGTCTTTGTTTTTGTGTTGGTCTCTCACCAACTAGGAGGTTGGAGCTCATTATAGCTCCAAGCTCCTCTTTATTGATGTTTTTCTATCATATGTTTGTATATGTGATTCATCAATAAAGTGTTTCTTTTTTGCCGATCAAAAAAAAAAGTGGGAAACATGACTGAACTTGTTGAATGATATGCTGATGCTCGTGCGGCCCACCTTCACATG